GGTTTCCTGGAGATTTAGATCTATATAGAGACACTACGACACAGGCGAAAGGCAGTAATGTAGAACCGTGGTCCAGACCATGGGCACACCAATCTAATATTAAAATGAATAAAAGGTATGTCCTGTTTATGCACTTGAGTATGATCAGTTTCTTTGGAGAATATAAACCCCTGTGACTTATAGCTCAGGTTCTTTCATATTAAGTTTCTATTAAAAGGAAAAACATATTTATCAACCAGCAGAGGTTCCTTTTTTTGTAACATTTAAGAATTATTAAGTATTATTGTAGTAGATGGGCTCAGTTTGTGAAATGTAAGTTGAAATTACAAACACATCAGGATGACTGAAAAGTGTATGTAATAAAACCAAACCTACAGTGTAATTATTACAAGATACCTCCATATTCTAGCCACAAACTCCCTTTCATTCTTACTGACTGGTTGTATTGAGCTCTTACCCTTATGTGCATGTCCTGGAAAAAAATGAGGAGAGTTTGCCTGATGAGCTGGAATTCCCCATCAGAGAGACAGCTGTATGTCTGGAAAAGAAAAAACATCATGGAAGGCTTTGCAGGTGTGCTATGTCCAAGGTAAAGGTGGAAACAAGTATATTGGAATACTGCTGGCAAAAATAGCATGTGTGTGGCAGGGAAAGCAGAAATGATGGGAGGTGAGGGGGCTGCTGGTCATTATCAGTAATTGTCATCCATGACTAAAGTCTGATTTAATTTCTGCAGAAGTCAGTGGAGACTTTGATCAGGCTGAATAAGCAACATATTGATTTAACCTGCACCAGTAGAAAAGTAACACTTGACTCGTAGCCATCTCCCTCTACAGCAGCCCTTTAGAAACATTTCATGACTTCCCAGAACTTTTAACATGCTGTGAAACCAGTTCCCTTTCACTGGAACACTCATACTCTTTGTCCAAAGAATTCCAGCAAAAGTTGGAAACTGGGAGGCCAATTTGTTTCCCTTAGGTAAAAAAGAAGGGAGGGTTATTTGGATGCTTCTCTGAGGAGGTATCAATGTCCACGTTTGATATGGCACTTGCTGATGTAGTGTTTAGTCTCTAAGATGAGCTTGAAAGAGAAAACAAATAAAATCATCTCAAACCACGGTGTATCCCACCCTTTTCCAAAGGATTCTTACATCAATCAGCTGTCGGAAAGTTTCATCCACTTGATTCATAATCCCAGGGGAATCATATATGAAATCCTTGATGGCATCCAGGTGATTGAAGGTGACCAGCAGAATGTCCCTGGGCCGAGGGCACAGCAGCACTTGGTATTTGAAAGCCATCGTCATCAGGTCATACAGCTACAAGGGAACACGGGGAAGTTTTGGTTCTGCCACAACAGAGAGAGGGTGACACTGCTCAGGGAGCTTTCTGCTGACGCAGGAAGGGATTTAGACACCAAGGTTAGTGCCTGCCTATGGGAAGAAGAACCATTTCAGTTTTGTTTCCTAAGAAAGTAAGAGCTCTGCAGTCACTGTCAGCCCTCCTGCTGCTCTTTCCAACTGCCTTTAAAACTACTGCCAATTTCCACAACGCTGGCACCCAGGTAGAGGTCTCTCAGATAACCCAGTTCTGCAGTATATAGTGTCTGCAGGCAAGAACTAGGATTTGCAACTGCAAAACAGTGTCAATACAGAAATACCCACCTATGTATATATTTTACATCGATATTAAAAAAAACTGATGAAGAATGCATACTCAACCCCTTGAAAATCCAACTTTTAGCTACAAAAGCAGAAATACTAGTTCTGAAGTATCTGACACTCTGGCACTACCATGAATTTCCCTAAAACCTTGATGAGAACTTCTTTTACAAAGAAAGCGAATGGAACTAGGGTTGTCACAAACCCCTTCAAAATTACAGTCATGTAAAGCCACATGCTAATTATCCCAACCAGAAACCTGTGAACAGGAGCACAGAAGGAGTGGGCAGGAGGTTCTTTACCTTGTCCATGCTTGCCTGGTTCAGTCTCATGATCGAAGCATGAGCCAGGCGGTCGTACACTGTTCGTAGTGCTTTCTTGGAATAGAGTTCCTGCGGTTTAAACAGCTCTTCCATGAATTTTTTATTGAACATGGTTGTGATGATGTCATTCATAACTGCAAAGACAAAGAGCCTCTGGGTTTTTGCTTCAGAAACAGCACAGGATTCGTTCCACACTGAGAATTTGGACACTGATAGCTGTGAGGACTGACATGAATGCTTACCTGTGGAATGTGGGACACAGCCACAAAGGAAAAAGGAAAAGGAACATCACTTTCTAATGCCAACATTTCTCTCAATCCCACAGCAG